TCAGCAGACTTAAACTGAGCTAACAATTCTGCCTTTAACTGATCATATCCAAAGTTTTCATCGTCCGCGTGATCCTCTAGTACTTGCCAGTACCATTTGAGTGCTGTGCCCGTTACTAAGCAATGAAAGTCTCAATATATCTGTTCGCACGACAGTTGATGTTGGTCTCTCCATTCGGAGCACAAAGCTTTCCATAGTCATAGTCATAGACCTTATCAGAAAAGAAGACCAAATCGAAGCGGCTACTGCCGAACATAACAGAGCACAACGTTCAATTCAAGAAAACTATAAGGAACTGGTGACGGAATATTTCTTTCCAGATATGAAAAAAATACTATCAACAATAGCTAAGAACTGTAGAACTTGTATGGAAAAGAAATATAATAGGCACCCAGCGAAACCGGAAATAGGGAAAACTCCCATTCCAGATTATCCTGGTCAAATTTTACATATAGACATTTTCTCTGTAGACAAACTTCACTTTTTCACTTGTATTGACAAATTCTCAAAGTTCACCATTGTAATTCCTATTCCATCCAGATCAACAATAGATATTAAAACTGCATTGCTAATAGTATTAAATAAGTTAAAAAAAAACAAGCTTGTTGTATGCGATAACGAGAAATCGTTTCATTCAAACACAGTAACCAATTTCTTAAAAGACCACTTCGGGATAGAGCATTCCACAATAACAGAAATTGCTCGTTGTATCAAGGCAGAACAAAACTTGGCTGACGTTCCAGAACTTATTTTATTGGCAACATACAAGTACAATACCACAATTCATTCAACTCTGAACGAAAGATTATCTCAAGTTAATTAAGGCCAGACTGACTGTAGCACAAGAGAAAATAATAAATCTGTCAAAAGGGAACCTAATGATATTTCAAGACGGCGAGAAAGTTTATGTTCGACGTAATAAACGCCTAGGGAACAAACTGAGTAAAGTTTATGTAGAAAACGTTGTTCAAAAAGATCTAGGTACAACTGTTCTAATTAACGGCAAAAAGATCCATAAAGACAATATTCGATAAAATCATACAAATAGATTTTTAATAAAAACATATATATATTTTGACTCTAATAAAACTTAAACACAAACCATAGTTATAATCGTATTTTTTTGAACACATTTATGCAGAAATATGTAAATATGTACGTACGTTTATCAAACTGTGAGCGGATTTCAATCTATTTTTACAATGTACCCATTCATAAGCAAATAATTTAAATATTACTCACATCATTTGTTCTTATGGTTATCAAAGCATACAAAAACAAAAACACAACGCAAGAGATAGAAAAATAATTTATTTTGAAATTTGAATACTTACCAAAATTATAAATCTTGTACTAAATTAAGCAACAAATCTACAAAACGGCATACACATGCATATATAGTATCCGGGTTAACATGACTACACAAACAAGCAAAATTGCCGTGATCAAAAATAAATAAAACCAAAGGGATCAAAAATAAGTAAAACCAAAGAGATCAAGACTGTTTTATTTAAGGAGTGCCCACAGGGAAATAACTTATCTATGGTAGTTGCTTATGTTAAGGATTATATAAATGAGTTTGTATAAAGACGTGCGGCGAACACGCGGGTAAAAGCTAGTACTTTATAAGAGCGTTCAATTGCTGGCGTATTAGATACAGAAGCAAAGCGAATGGGTCTGGTAGTGAACCGAGGACAAAACGAAGTATCTCCTGTCGTCACACAAACAGTCAGAGCATACGCGTCTTGACTCCCGCGTCACTGTTGACAGTTACAAGTTTGAAAAAGTAGACGACTTCGTTTATTTGGGAACCAGCCAATAATGTCCGCCTTGAAATCCAACGTAGAATCACTCTGGCCACAAGTGCTACTTTGGACAGATTAGGCAATTGAGAAGTAAAATCCTCTCTCGTCGTACAAAAATCGCACTCTATAAGTCACTCAGCATGCCAGTGCCCGTGTATGACGCGGAGGTATGGACAATGAAAACATCTGATGAAGCGGCTCTTGGAGTTTTCGTGAGAAAGATTCTGCGCAGGATTTTTGGGCCTTTGCGCGTTACCGATGGCGAATCCCGCAGACGATTTAACAATGAGCTGTATGAGCTTCACAACGACATAGACGTAGTACAGCGAATTAAAATTCCGCAGCACCGCTTGCTAAGTCATGTCGTTCGAATGGACATAAACGCTCCAGCCCTGAAAGTATTCAACGCTGGTCGCGCTGCTGGTAACAGAAGAAGTGATGGCCTCCTCTGCGTTGGAAAGACCAGGTGGAGAAGGACTTGGTTTCACTTGGCATAAGTTGGCATAAAAGAGAAAAGACTGGCGGACTGTTTTGGACTCGGCCAAATCGCTTAGGCGGTTACAGCGCCAATAAAGAAGTTATTTTACTAAAAAGTCACAATAAACGCAAAAAGTATTAATATATATGATTGTGCGGGATTTTATTGCAAATACATTGCTGAAATGTGTACGTAAATATAGTGTTGATTGTGTGAAATAGCGCCCAAAGGTTAGTTTAATTTACACGCTTTAACAACAAATAAATTAAAAACTATAAGACTCCTGCAGCTAAAAACTACATATTTGCAATCAGCATTTTGAGCTGTCGGGTTTCTCTGTAGCAGCCTGCCGGTATAACTTTAAAACAGGTGCCCTTGGGATGTTTGGGTGTTTTGGTTGCCCTAGGCCGAGCTTTCCCCACAGCTTCAGTAATCAAAATATTGTAGACCGGCCTGTCCAGGCCTCCTCTCCCCCTACTGCCCTGCCCTAACGCTTAAGCCCTCTCTACCTCCTAACCATGACGTTTTGACCCCTGCGCTGCTCGAGGCTGAAGCGGAAGTCAAAGTCACCCCTGTCGGTTTGGAGGACCGTCCCCTATATTGATTTTATTTTTTGAAGTTTCGCTCATAAATATGGTCCCACGAGTGTCGGACGAAGGAGGTTCGCCTACACAGAGGTCCGTGTGCACAGGTAGGGCTAGATAGAACCGGAGGTCTCCAGGTATCCGGAGCACTCCGTTCGAGACCGGGCTAGTTATTAATCTGGGTCCCCTGCCAGGCAGAACATCAGCACGGGTCGTCTAACACCCTGTTCCACCCAAAGCTTTTTCCAAGAGGTTTGCTCCTCCGTTACCTTCAGAGGTCACGATTAAAAACCATTTCCATATACTATTGAGGAGCTTGAGCATATAGCACTGATTTCTGAACTTAGCTGGACACCATTCTGACATCGTACATCTTTAGATTTTATTCGTGTGAATACTCTCCCACAAAGTCATGAAACCAATAATTCCTAAAACTTGACATTAGTGTGATTCATAAAACGTCGCAAAGTGGCATTTTTGGCGAAATGGCAATGTTGTATAAACGACCTATCGCAATTCCTGATTGCAAATGTAAATTTTTTTTAAAATACCGCACGTTAGAGAAAAAGAAAAGTTTTTACAATTATAAATAAAACAACATATGTTTCGCGACTTTGACTTTACAATGTTTGCGAGCTCAAATACTATGGCAATGTCGCAATTTTGTCGCAAGAAAGTTTCCATACAAAAGCAATCAGCTGTGTCGTAAGGTGGCAAATTTTGCGGTAAATGCAATATTTGCAACAACCTTGCGACGTTTCATGGATCCCACTTTTATCTGCGTAGTTGCAAATTATACAATGCTAAAAGGTCTGTGACCGCTGCGGTGTAGTGGTTACACGTGCGCACTACCATTCCGGCTGGGTACGACTAACATCAAAAACAAAAGAAAAGAAAACGTTGTTTCTAATAGCGGTCGCCCTGGACAGGCAATGGCAAACCTCCGGATGTATTTCTGTCATGGAAAATAGCTTGTCATAAAAATACAGTCGCCGGTCGGAGTCGGCGAAAAACTGTAGGTCCCTCCCCTTTATGTGACAACATCAAAGCGCACGCCACAAATCGGAGTAGAAGCTCGTGCAAACCCTAACATATTGTGTAAGCGCCAACATGTTATTATAACTATGGCCCCTATTATGAGTTGCATTCAATTTCGACTGTGGTCGAAAGTGCTGAGCGAGCGAATTTTCATTTGGTATTATGGCGCTCATTCGATGAAGAATAGCGCTATTGTGAATTTCGCTCGCTTAGGTTTTCACAATAGTATATTTTTCACCGCTGAGAAGCTTTGTTTACAAATCGAGCAAACTAAATAGTGTGCTTATACATATTTATGTAAATTTGTTCTAATTAAAATGAAGTAAAAAAGAAAGCAAGTTTATAAAAACGTGGTAAAATGAGTACAACGAGTTCTGGTTCAACGATTCGTCAGAGGATGAGAGCTTAGTAAACTGGCCAGGAGTAGCAAATGTTTAAGAGAGTTTAAGTTTATTAGTCTTTCGAATATATTTTGATATAAAATATATTTAAGAAATTTGTCTACAGATTCATTAAAAAGTTCCGACCATCTAAAGAGGCGTTTGTGAGCCAAATCTATTTAAAATATTTTAAAACTATCAACAGCGCTACGATTTTGTTCTCAGAGATCGTGCCAACAGAGTATTGGGATTTTCTTTCACAAGTAAAACCAGCCTTTCGAGCTTGTGTTTAGTATTCAAGATGTTAGAACTGCATGAAATTAATAAAAATTGTTTAAAATTAGTGTCTAGCCGCCAAAATGTAAGAAAACATATACAAAATCATACATTTTTCACAATTTTCTAACACTTCGCTACACCATCGAAAGCAAAATTCTGTTCGACAGAAAATTCGATACTCAACGAAAATTTCGACACGCTTGCATAGCTCATAATACGAATTTCACTTTCGATCTTCGATCTTCGATAGCCAGCGAAGATCGAAAATCGAATGCAGCTCATAATAAGGGCCTATGGTACATTTTCGAATTGAGATTAAAATATAACTCCTCCGATGTCTACAAGTAAGATCGTGAAGAAAAAAATTGCCTATTTAAGTGAAACGCGGTTTATTATTTACGTTGAATATTACTTGTTGAATAAAAGGTAACGATAATTTAGTCTTATTCTCAAACACTTTTATATTTCTAAGCATATAAACATAAATTTAAAATATCATGAGTTATTTAAATTTTCGTAATTATTACTGTAGATATAACACCCCTATGCAGTAATCATGAACCAAAAACTAGAGATCACGCAATCGGCCATCGTTGTATTTGTAATCGAATTTCAGAAAAAAAATTTCCTACCGTTTTTGCCGTATGTCATTTTTACATTACCTTCTATCTCTTCGTGGAGATTTTTTTTAACGATTTGAGTTGTTTCTCTAGCGATTAATTTTAAATAAATAATAAAATAAAGCTCTTTGTGATTGGAACCAGTTTGTGCGCTTGTTTAATCTCCCAAGAGGCGTAAATTTGCGTGAAAAGTGGTTGCACTTTTGTCGTCAGAACGTTGCTATTGGAAATTCAAGCCGCGATTTTAAGTCACTTGGTATAATGAAACCCACAATTTATAAACACTTTCAAATTTTCATCGTTTTACCTATTATATTTTATAAGAAATACCAATATAACCGCACTCAAATAACAGCACTTTTTTGTTTTCTTTATTTTTTTTCATTCTTTGGCAGATGTCAAAAACGCTCACAAATTTACTTTTTTTCTCTTTTGATTGCGTGATCTTGTTAGTTCGAATTTTCGTAGTTAAGAAATTGTAGCTTCGCTCCGCAAAATATAAAAAATGGTATACTGTAATCGATTCGTAACTATCCACCGCGTTATCAACCAAAATTAAGAAATTCGGAGTTCTTAATCGACTATTTTGACAAAAATAAATAAACAAATATGATTGCAAGTGAAGACCGAAATTTAAAATCAGCATTTATTAACCATTTGCTAGGAAATTTTTTTATTTAATTAAAATAAAATGGATTCTGTTGTCGCTGCAAATGCTTTGGGCAACAATTGCTTGAATGTGGAAGGGGGATTGTTAGCTACTTTATATTACATTTACATTGGACCAAAATGCGTGATTTGGCCTCGCATTTGAGGTTTCTCGCCCAAATGACGCATTTGGGCTCAATGTAAATGTAATATTAGTTTCTATGTATGAATTTGAGTTGTGTGGTTCAATGAACTGATATGTATACTAATGTACTTCCACAAAGGTTTAAATGTTTAATTATTTCTGATAAAATTTATCCTCAACGAGAGCATACAAAAGCATTTTAAGTGGTGTGGAAGACCTTGGGCTAAGTGTAAAATCTTCCGTCAGTGGCTTCTCAATGGCAGTTTTGCGTCTCTTGGCTGAAGGAAGTTATCAACATGGTATTGGAAAATATCATAATGTGAGGTCGGGCGCTTTTTATGCATTATTTAAATTACATAGTTTTAGTTATTCGTGCCCTATACAGGTTATTTTATTATTTTTGCAAAACTCGTTCACCGTTTGCTCTTACAAAATTTTCGCAAAATACTACAAATTTACAGCTACGTCAGATTCTGGCATACCAACATTACGAATTACGAAAGTGGTCTACCATTCTCGAAATCACGATACAAAAAAGCGGAGTACAGCATACCGATTCTTAGCAAAATCGAACATACGAAGAATTACAGCATAGGGGTCTAAATTTTCAAGTACATTGCTTCCTTTTTATTTTGCATAAATTTTTTTGTTACAAAGGTTTACTGCATGATGCTAGTTTTAACGATGTTTCATTTACAACTGCTATTATTTTATCCGCAGAAATTATATCGGATAGCGAACTTGGTCTCGATTGATTACTTCCAGTGTAATATTCTGTTTCCAGGTATGCGCCATAGTTACCTGTATTAGCAGAGTTTACTTTGCGGATGGAACTGGCGTTATATAAATTAACTTTTTTGTTAGTATCAATTAGTGTAGACCCAGCAGTGGTTAGGACGTAATTTGCTGAACCTATTAAATCTATTGATAACTTGGAAGAGTTATTTTGTAAGGAAATGTTAACCACGCTTGCTGGCGAAAGCGACATAGCGGTAACTGATGGCGGCGATGATCCTGAATTTGAAGTATTAATTTTGGGACACTGAATAGCATTGAAATTTTGCATAGTTCCTGCAATCTGACATATGCCTGTAATAAGAACCAATTAGTCTTTTACAAGGTTTTATATAAATGGTTTATTTTAAATCGAGTTTCATTTTGTCTGTTTTAGAGATTCAAACTTACATCCGCATTGGTTTGATACGTTGGATAATAGACATGAGGATGATGTAAAATGCGAGAGCTGGCATTTTATTGGCGATAATGTAACGGCATTTTCACTAACGGCAGATAAATCGCTAGTGTTTGACTTGTTAATGCTATTGGATTTACAGCTACTCCTATTACTACAACTACTGATACGCTGGCTGCCGCTACTACCATTGCCGGCAGCGGCAATGATATTATCAAATGCGGATGTGGATTCAATCGTATTTTGTACCAAGCTATTTGATGATACTGAAATGGAGGGCACTACCTCGCCGTTATATGATATTAAGGCAGTATTAAAGCCAACACCGCCACCAATGGAATCTTTCGATGTTGAAGTTGTTGATAATGAAGATCCAATGATATTAGTACCGAATCCGCTCCCTTTAAAAGAAAATAGATAAAAATATTTAAATTGCATTTTTCCATTAGAAATATATATTGCTATTCAAGGATGCGAAGGTGCTAATTCCGCTTTTTAAAAACATTTATTTTTTGATTCAGAATGGAAGATAATGCAAAACTACACCATTTAAAACAAGATAGGTGTGCAAACGTACGTTAATCAATGCTTTATTTTATTCCTATGAGTAAACACGTTACTGGTGCAATGTTATTTACACTTAGGTGCAAGATTGAGTCAATAATAAACAAATGCACAATTTATGCGTTTTCCGGTGGTTCTTTGGCAAAATTCTAATGCGTTTTTTTTTACATATATTAGAGTATAGTTTATAGCACTAGAATCCACCATAAAAATATCAAATTTCGCTAACGTATATTCACTCCATCAGTTTTTGTAAATTAACACATTGACTCAATTTTGCACCCATATAATTTATAAGAGATATTGCCACGCTGCAACTCGTTGCAACCCGTTTTCCTCCGTTAAAGTGTCGGATTTTGTTATAAATGAGTAAGTTGGGTTTTTGTTACTAAAATACCATGAGATGCGTTTTGGGAAATAAAACTAAAAATATTACTGAAAAAGCTATGACGGGGCTTTCAAGCCGCGAATTGCGAAAATAACGGATATCAGCCAATCGACTGTTAGCCGTATTATTAGAGGCACTACTAACATGCTGATTGCAAAGAAAACGGTGGGAATAAGCCGAAAATATCCGACGTAGAAGGTCCAAAACTTAGGCGTTTAATAGCAGGTGTTTAATAGCATTCTTCTCACGGTCAATACGCTAGCATCTCCACTAACGCACCCCACAGCTTCTTTAGCAGTAGATATTCTGTCTAACGCTATTAAACGCCTAAGTTTTGGCCCTTCTACCTCGGATATTTTCGGTTTATTTCCACCGTTTTCTTTGCAATCTGCATGTTAGAAGTGCCGCTAATAATACGGCTAATAGTCGATTGGCTCATATGCGTTATTTTCGCTATTTCACGGCCTGAAAGCCCCGTCATAGGTTTTTCAGTAATATTTTTATTTTTATTTCCCAAAACGCATCTCATGGTGTTTTAATAACAAAAAACAACTTACTGAGTCATTTATAACAAGAGCCGACACTTTAACGGAGGAAAACGGGTTGCAACGAGTTGCAGCGTGGCAATATCTCTTATAAATTATATGGGCGTAAAATTGAGTCAATGTGTTAATTTACAAAAATTGATGGAGTGCATATACGTTAGCGAAATTTGATATTTTCATTATGGATTCTAGTGCTTTAAACTATACTCTAATATATGTAAAAAAAAAAATCATTAAAATTTTGCCAAAGAACCACCGAAAAACGCATAAATTGTGAATTTGTTTATTATTGACTCAATTTTGCACCTAAGTGTATATGTATAGTGAATGTTACTTTTGAGTTGACTTCGCGAGAGTGCACCACCCCTAGAACAAAATGACTTTTTTGGGGGTGTAGAGGGGGTCGTACACATCACAAAACAGAACGACGTGGAAACTCATAGTTTATAAGTAATTTTTTGTTAAAGTTGTAAAATTCACGGAATAAAATTGATGATATGAAACCATTTTAAACCAGTATAAGTGCACAAAACACATACATTTCACTATTACTAACATATTTGATTACACAGCAGTATCTTCTATCTATTAATCTGAAACAAGCGCTTATTCCCAGCGATCTACAAATCGTACAGAGACATTATATATCAAATTAAAATCCTCGATCTGAAACTTTGCACAAACTTTTCAGATTTAAGATTCATTGAACCACTTTCGAAATATTTGTTTCGAAAGATTTAAAAATTTTTACATTGAGCAAAGCATGGTTAAGTTCATTTCGATAGGCAGCGTCTCAGCGGGACATAAGAGAATGAAAAATTGTTCCACTTATTCGCTTTCGTCTCTGTTTTTGTTTCATATCGATCAAAGCTTTGACACATTCGCGTGCATGCATGTAAGCAGCGATACAGCGGTAGATCTACAAATAAAATGTCCCCTTTGTCTGTGCTTTATTTTGATTTGAGCATTTCTATGTTCCATTTATCCGTTTTCGTCCCTGTTTTTTTTCACATCGCGCAAAGCATTGCTACATTCGTGCGAATGTGATACAGCGGAAGATCTGCAAAACAAAAATGTTGCTTTTGCCTCTGTACACGTACCCATATATAAATCTTACATGGTTTCTTTCGATGTTTTTTTTCTGAGACAAATATGGTTCCATTTGTATTATAAATCTATATATCAATATATAATCGTACAAAGACAATTTACCTTCAAATTAATTATGCAAAAACATTTCAGATTTAAGAATCATCCGATGTACATATTTGCATGAAAAAACTTTTAAAATTTTACATTGAGCAATTTTAAAATCTAAAACTGAATCTAACACACGCATTCTCATTTTGAATTTCCAACAACAACAATTTTGAATAATTTCATTTCTTTATTTTTAATTTTGTATACTTTTAAAATGCATGAAAACTTAGAACTCGCGCTCGACTCAAAAATTAATATAAGTGCCACAAGAGATTATTTTGCAAGCCGATTAGGTATTTGAACGTCAGCCTGGTGTAATTAATCAAAACCACTTGAAGGATCGATCAATTTCGTGTCCAAAAAACAAGCACTGTCCGGTAGTTATTAAAGAAATGGTAAACATGTTGTACGGAGAAGAAAGTTTTAACTATGGCGTCGATATCTACTGCCGTTTCTGAATATCCACAGGAGCAATTGGAGTAGGGAGTTGCACCTCATGACTTGATACTATAAGTTGGATCAGTTGTAATGTTAATTACCAACATAAATATGTATTTATGTATATAAGAACACTGAGGGAAAAAATTTTAGAATTGAAAAAAAAACCTGCTAATTTTATAAAAATACGCATATGAAGGAGCACCAACCCAACTCGTATTAAATTTTAGTATAACGCTTCAAAATATGTCGTTGTGCACTTCTCAGATGCTTTTTCGTAATTAAGAAGAAAAAAAATTTTTAATTTTATGTTCCGTCTGATGGTAATTGAACTCGGACTCTCTTGGCAGCAACCACTTGTGTCAAGCATCTTTGCGCACTCAGCTACAGCCATACATGTAAATGTGCTTTCAAATGTTGAGTTTGTATCAACATCACAGCGCGCGAGTGCATTTGAACAGATAAACATGTACCATGTATGTGTGTATGGGTTGTCACTAGGGATGTTTCGAATGTCATATTTTTCAAATTCGCGAATGCGAATGTGCGAATTCGAATGCGAATGTCAGGAATAACATTAAAAGAAGCTATAATAAACTTTCGTTTTTATCACTAACAAAATTTGTAAATTATTAGAACATTGAACGAGTGCTTAACCTATGCAGTGTTTTAATTTAGTAGCCAAAGTTCAAAAGGGGCATATTGTATTTAAAAAAAGTAATTTTAATTTCTTACAGGCTCGTATATAAGGCCGGCTGCACTGAACAATTGCTCACTTGGAACGCTGGCGGGTGGAGCGCTCAAATATTTGCGGGCCAGATCTGTCAATTTGTGGTAGGTTAGTTTAGTTTTCCACCAATCGAGAGGATTTTCACCGAGATGAGCTCATTTTTTCTTTAAGATAGGCCTTCGAATTTAATTTCACATCTAAAATTATTTCTAGGTTGCTTTATAAGCTTTTATCATTACTTATTGAAGGCCCATCAATGTTGCTCGATATGCTACTTAACCGTTTAGCGTAGAAATGGTATAGAATTCTTGAAAATCAATATTTTTCGATCGGAAAACTCTGGTTTTCTTCAGGAGACTTTGAATAATAATACCCAATTGTTTATTCAACCATTTTTTAATACTAACGATTTTTTATTTGTCGCCCCATTGCATTTTTCGGGGTTTTGTGGGTTTTTGGCGGACCTATAAATTATAGTTGCGATGAAAAAATGGTTAAATAAACAATTGGGTATTATTATTGGGAATCTCCCTAATGGACAACGACCGAAACGAATATGGCCGCAAGTGTGAGTAACGTGTTGCCAGACGTTCACAGCGTAAGATTATTAGGTCCATTAGGGTAAGAACATAGTGGAGCGGCGAGCAAAGATCATTGAGCAAAGCGTCGATTTCAAACGCATATGTTTCAATGTGCGAGCAAATCGTACATACACGTTTGTAATTGAAGCTTTGCTCGATGCTAGCTCTTCGTTTTGCTCGCCGCTCCACTATGTTTTGACCCTTAGGATGTTCAAATAAGATCGGTGTTCCCAAAAACCGTTTTTTTTGGATTTGGTTAATGATCTTTTTTAGTCTTTTTTTAATTTAGTTAATCGTGTTTTTGCTTTTAAGCCGAAAACCGAAAATTCGGTTTTTACATTCCCCAGCAATGGATAATTACCACAAACTTCAAATTAACTACTCAGTTTTTGTTTGCTGTTCCAGTAGCTAAGCATAATCGATTGTGAAGTCGATTGTGAATATTGAAATTTCGTACAAAGGATTTATATGTCGTTTGTTAAAACATAACCCATATTCTAATAAAACATTAAAAAAATATTTACCACGAAAAACATTGGAAATATTAAAAAAAACAATCACTGTACAACAAAATTTTGAAGTTAATAATATATTACCATTTACATAAGTATAAGTATACATATAAAAACGCTGTTTAGGCGTTTTCGATAATAATTTCATAACCTGTAGGAATAGTTGTATGTTTAGGTTTAATTAGCGCATTTTAAGATACAAGGGATATATTATATTAACAAAAATTATATTAAAAGAATACTGGTTCTAAATTAATTAGACGACACAAAACAAACGTCGTTATTTCAAACGTTGACGCTGCTAGGAGGCGTTGTCAGATTCGCTTACACATATGTAATTATATACATATCGCTCATGTACTTCAATACTGTCATAATCAGAAAATTCAGAGTTGAGTTTGCAGAAATTTCCGCTACCTTTTCTTCTATGTTGTGTAAAAATT